AAGACATACTTATGCCTTACTATTCTATGACGTTTTTATGCCTTACTATACTATGATTTTTTTTTTTGACATTTTTATGCCTTATTATACCATGACAATTTCATACCTTACAATATTATGAAGTTTTTTTACTTACTTCAAAGAACTGCCATGGTAGCACAATGGGTATGACTGAGGTTTCACATTGACAAGGTTGTGGGTTCGAACCCTGTGTTGCACCAGTTGTTGTTCCTTATTATACTATGGTATTTTTTGACCTTTTTATTCCTTATTATACTTTGACAATTTTATGCCTTACCATACTATGACTTTTTTTCACATTTTTATGCCTTACGATACTATGACGTTTTTTTGACATTTTTGTGCCTTACTATACGATGACGTTTTTTTCACATTTTTATGCCTTACGATACTATGATGTTTTTTTCACGTTTTTATGCCTTACCATACTATGACTTTTTTTCACATTTTTATGCCTTACAATACTGTGACATTTTTATGCCTTACTATACTATGACATTTTTTGACATTTTTTTATGCCATACTATATTATGAAGTTTTATTATTTCAAAAAGCTCCCATGGTAGCGCAATGGGTATGACTGAGGTTTCACATTGACAAGGTTGTGGGTTCGAATCCTGTATTGCACCTGTTTTCATATAGAATAATTTGTTATGTACCTTACAAAATTTAGATGCCTTAAAACATATTTTTGCCTTATTATACTATGACAATTTTATGCCTTACTATACTATGACATTTTATGATATTTTTATGCCATGACATTTTTTCACATTTTTATGCCTTACGATACTATGACGTTTTTTTCACATTTTTATGCCTTACCATACTATGACATTTTTTTGACATTTTTATGCCTTACTATACTATGACGTTTTTTTGACATTTTTTTTGACATTTCCTTTTGACATTTTTAGTCCTTATTATCCTTTGACAATTTTATGCCTTACTATACTATGATTTTTTTCCACAATCTTATGCCTTAATATACTATGACATTTTTTGACATTTTTATGCCTTACTATACTATGACATTTTTTGTGACATTTTTATTCCTTATTATACTTTGACAATTTTATGCCTTACTATACTATGACATTTTTTGACATTTTTATGCCATACTATATTATGAAGTTTTTTTGACTTGCTTCCTAGAACTGCTATGGTAGCGCAATGGGTATGACTGAGGTTTCACATTGACAAGATCGTGGGTTCAAACCCAGTGTGGCATCTCCCTTCCTATACAATAGTTTGTTATGTTCCCTACAAAACTTAGATGCTTCAAGACATACTTATGCCTTACTATTCTATGACGTTTTTATGCCTTACTATACTATGATTTTTTTCCACATTTTTATGCCTTACGATACTGTGACGTTTTTATGCCTTACTATACTATGACATTTTTTTTGACATTTTTAT